CGTTCGTTTAACTCTTCGGTTGTCAGCTCGTCTGAAGAGAAAAAAGGATAGCGGGTGTAGCCGCCTTTATATACTGTGGGCCTGCGCGCGCATTCAGGTAGGCTCGCTCCGATTGGCCGACTACGTTTACGTAAACTCAGTAGGTGAAAGCATGCACAGCATGATAGAGAGTAGTACCCATAGAGTCCAGTAGAGGGCGGAGTGAAATATAACAAAACATTACTTATAGTGAAAACCAGGGCCGTTTCTAGCTTTTTGGGGGCCCTATGCAAGATGCTGTTTGGGGGCCCTAGTTTTGACAGTTTTTTAACTACAATGGGGGGGATTCCTAAGCCTTTAAGATGATCTGTGGAGATGCATCAATCTGTTACACTTTAATAGGGAAACAGGCTAATTTCACGAAAACCAAGCAATTGAAAATTACAAAAAATGATATTAAAAAGGTAAACAATAAGGCTCCTCTATGTCAATAAATGCAAGAGATGCAGCATTTTCTCAACAATGTTTCATTTACATTTGTCATCTTCCTCAGATTCAGATCGTTGGGCTGTCAGCTCATTTTAATTCTCCCCAAATATATTGAGGCTGAACCTGAACTTTGAATTCTATGCTCCCATCATAATCTTGGCGATCTTGTTAAAATTGTGAATGCAGAATTAAAAATACTATGTAACTGGTTATAAATTATCCCTTAATGTGCCAAAACAAATTACATGTTATTCAATACAAAGTCTGAGAGTAGAAATGACTGCATTATACGGATTTGCAATACAGAGATAGAAAAAGTTGGTGCATGTAAATTTTTAGGACTGCTTGTTGACGAAAAACTCAATTGGAAGCACTATATAAATTATGTACAGACTAAACTGTATTTTGTATTATACTAAGAACATTCTTGAAGAAAATATACTCTTTATAACAGTCTATTTCTCCCTTACCTTTACTACTGCTCCGAAATATGGGGAAACACGTACTCAACAAATCTACAAAAAATAATAACATCCCAAAAAAAGTATTACGAATAGCCTGTGGTGTTGGTAAATATGAACACACAACTCCCATATTTAAAAAAACTCAATCTATTAAAATGTGTTGAGATAGTACTGCTTAAAACAGTACTGATTATGCACAACATTTTCCATAAGAAAATGCCTAATAACATTCAAAAGCAGTTCCAAACCACAGCGTGAACATATGAATGTAAAAAAAGTCACTTAAAAATAAGTGTTCACAATGTTTATATGCAATTATGCATATATTATTATTATTATTATTATTATTCATTTGCCAAGTACATGTGTACCTATTTATATATAGTTTATATATTTTAATTTCCAAAAAAATATAGTCAAACTGCTATTGACATGTGCAGAAAATGACCCTATATCTAGTTTTAGAATATATATATATACATATATATATATGCATTTATTGTTTTCCTGCCCTAACTTTTATTACATTTTTTCTCCTGTTTTCTTTATTTCTTTGTACTCCTTCATTTCTATACATTTTTTACGCAATAATGCCGCTGTATTAGGATGATACACGGGAGGGCTACTTTCCACAACCTATGCTTCAGCCCTCCCGCTTCTACTAATTTTGTTCATCTTTGTGTGTATGAATTACACTTTTTTAGTTTTTCGGATGAATAAAATAAAAAAAATAAAAATACTTTCAGCTTGGGGGCCCCCTAGTGGCCGCGGGGGCCCCTATAGGAAGAAACGGCCCTGGTGAAAACCACCCTTGAATGATGGGATGGTAGACTAAAAGCTTTAGGAATCCAAACTATAACATATAAGTACCCTGTATCAAGATTGATGCTAAACAAGTGACATTTGACCTTTTTAGAGAGATTTAGAAAAGAAAACCCACTTCTGGGGTCATTTGGGTGCATTTTCCATATCTCTGGAACCCCTCTTTCGATGTTGATGATTGACACCTCTTTTTAACCGTTAGAGCCAATAGAATTGAGGGAAAGTTCCTCAAATCCATCTAAACGTCATTGGTGAATGGGTGATGCATAGCCAGAATGCCCCGGAACCGGATGCTGCGATACACTCTGGTGGCTATCATTAGCAGCTAATATGAAAACTCCGTTATTAGGGCTGTGCAATTAATCGTATTTTAATCGCGATTACGATTATGGTTTGCGACGATTATGAAAACAGCATAATTGACAAAATACGATTATTTTGCTGGGTGCGCTTTCGCCCCTCCCTAAAAGCCCACTCGGCCACGTGGGAGTGACATGTGTTGTGAGTGTTCAGCGCGAGCGAAGATGTCAGATCAAGAGCAGCAACTCGTTAAAAAGAAGGGTAAAACTATTTCCACTATTTGGAAGTACTTTGGCTTTCAGGAGTCCGACGTGGAGCAAAACAAAGTACAGTGCAGGATTTGTTACCAGGTTGTGTTGGCACCACACACTAACACAACCAATCTCTTTCATCATCTGAAATACAACCACAAAGTGCAATACGACAAAAAGCAGACCAACAAGCAGATGCCCGCTCGACTTCATCCACCACATCATCACAGTCATCGATTCAGGACGCATTGTACAGAGCAACGGCCTACGCGACGAGCTCGCAGAGACACAGAGATATTACAGGTGCCATTACATTTCACATCGCTAAAGATATGTGCCCAGTTAGCACTGTTAGCAACCAGGGCTTTAAGCAACTTGTCAACACGTTGGACAAGCGTTACGCGATGCCGTCTCGGTATTATTTCAGCAGGTCTGCGCTGCCTGCACTATATGACAAATGCCGTGGGGAAGTTGAGAGAGATGTGGCTTCAGCTGACTACTTTGCTACCACAACAGACCTATGGTCTAGCCCAGGGGTACCCAACCAGTCGATCGCGAGATGTGTCTAAAAATAGAACAACAATATTCTGTTTTATCGTTAATGTCCTGTAACATAATCTTCCTGTGCCAGAATAATGCACTTGAACGCATCAAAGCTTTGTGATTGGCCGGCGTCACCCCATGTGTCGGGGCGTGGCTGAGGGTCTTCAGTACAGGTGGCAATATTGTCACCTGTATTTTGGTCTAATTTATTTTTATTTATCATATTAATAATATATGTTTAGTATGGTTTTGGAAGTGCGCTCCAACATATTTGTTGATCTTGTTTATTGGTAAAATATTATTTGTTTTAAAGTTCAATAAATGGTCAATAAATAATCGTGATATTAATTATTGACCCAAATAATCGTGATTATGATTTTTGCCATAATCGCACAGCCCTATCCGTTATTGACATACAAATGGAATGATGGATTATCAGAAATCATTTCAAAGTGACACAGACACATTGGATTAACCTATGGATTAACCTTCAGCAGCGGTTTTATCGTTTTAATGCCATTGAATGCGACTTTTGATCAGAATAACAGCTAAGGTAAGACGATGTCCCGTGAATGCTCCGTAAAGCTCCGTGTTGTGATGTCATTGTTTGCTTCCCCTGTCGCGAGTTCTGATCGCTCAGTGATGATACTAATACCTGTAGAATCTGTGGAATCTCAGCTTGCTAATCGATATCTTGTTTGTGCAGTTACGATAAGTAATAAGGGTATTTATACCTAGAGTTCTGTGCTAAGCAGTGGCGAGCCGTGACTTTTATACCTAGGCCCTCTGATGGTCAATTGTACTGTCACTTGACTTCACTCTCTCCTTCAGTTACTATAGCGGGCCCTCTGTGAATTTACAGCTGGACAACCAATCAGCTCCTGTCCTCCCATAACTCGCAGAGACAAGCTTCTTTCATTTAACCCTTCACATTCAAACAGAAACTGAACAGGCAGATTGGAAGGATTTATTTCTTTGGAAATGTTATTTTGGTAAAACTAATGAAAAATATAACAAAATATATCCTAAAAAGAAATGTTGTTTTTTTTTTTAATGTTTTCAAATATTATTTTTTAGAATATCTTATCTTGACGGCTTGCCACTGGTGCTAAGTGTGTTAGCATTTTTTCGCTCAGGGCTCATTTAGACGCTTCTTGTAAGACTTGTGCTTTGTTTTGGTAAAAATTGTTCGTATCGTCAGTTAGCTGAGTTTCTTCCCGTTAAGTGAGTATGACACATTCATAGGTTTTTAAATGTTAAGAAGCCCTGAGACACAGTTTTGTGGAAAAAAAACCTGCAGATCTCGGGCTTAACAGGTTAAAGGATTTGCCAAGGAAAAAAGGAGATGAACAATATAGGCGAATATAAATGTGCAGTCACATACCCATCATCCATTCTGCTGAACTGTCCTCTGGTCTGCATATTTAACTGATTCTTAGCCTGCTCATAACCATATCTGCTTTAGTCAATACATGCTGTAGGAGCCATGTTATGGGTGTTGTTGGTGTCTCAGTTTACTTTATTTATATTTATAGTGCAATACTATTTTGAACACTTGGCGGTGGCAGGGTTTATAAAAGGGGTCACAGGTGACAGGAAAGGAGGAGGACACAGGAGGAAGAGCACAACGATTCCACCAGCCCGGCAGATGCTCATACCACAACCTTTGACACAGTATAATTAAACCTTGGTATGTAAAGCAAAATAAACATCATTCTAAACTGCAGCAAAAGACCGGAAATCATCTGTTTGTGTCTGCGTCTGGATCACTCTAAACCTCCTGTGAAGTAATGGCAATAAAAGAAGAGGACATTGGAACAGGTCAAATTGCCATTACACATGTCTACAATCAAACAACAGAGGCACCACCTAAAGATAAAGATGGACGTCACAGTGTTCCCACCTGCCTGCTGTGACCCCGCAGTGACCTAAACCTGCTAAAAAAATCCTGAAGGGAAAAGGTCTATCTAATATCATAATATGCATAAAGTCTAACATTCAAACACATTTAATGATTTAATATTAACAGATAGGTTAGCTTAACAAATCGCCAAATAGGCTGTTTATTTAGTTCATTAAAGATTGAGGCCAGTGTCACATCGGCCCATCGTTTGCTCCTGGTGTTTCAACAGTAATTTGATGAAGTAAGTACCTCAGTGAAGAGATGCTGGATGACTGTAGCCAGAGCCTCCACCCTCCGGTTCCCCTGCAGCAGCAGCCTCCTCAGCTGGCTGAGGGCCTGGTTCTTCTTCTCTGCCTGCTCTTTACTCTGGTTCTGTTTAGCAGCGACCGTCCGCTCTGCCCCCCAACCCCCCCCTGCACCCGGCCGGGGTGCATTCTGTAGGCGGGATCCTGCTCTGGACCTCAACGCAGTTTTTGGTTTCAACCCGAGACCAGAGGCTCCATTGCAGTGGCTCTCAGGGGCCGGCCCCGGGAGAACTGCTGTCCCTGGTGCATGCACCACCTCTGGTACCTAAAGCAGGAAAGAAGGACAATGAATGAATCCTAATGTACAATATAAGATCAAAGGTCTGCACAGGAAATATTCATGCATGAGGCCCAATATGTATAAAAGTTATATGGTAAAATATTATTAAGGGGACTATACCATTTTCATCTATAGAAACCGGTGTATAAACACCAGCAATCAGTCTGAAAGCTACAGCAAACACTAGAGAACCACCACAGGAAAAGCCTTCTTGCTTTATCGTGTTCATATCCTCTGTATATTTTGTACGTATTGGATGAGTGCAGTGCAGTATTGTGTTATTTTTTCATCTAATTCAATCAATCAATAATTTATAAGATACTGCTTGGTAAAGGTTCTGACAGGGTGTTCTGCCCATGATGAATGTGCATCATAAAGCTGAAAACTGGATCGGACAGCACATACCGGGTCGGGTGGAGGTAGCTGCTCCCTCTGGCTGTTCCCTGCTGCTGATGGCACTGATGGAGCTGCTGATGGAGCTGCTGATGGAGCTGCTGATGGCACTGATGGAGCTGCTGATGGAGCTGCTAATGGAGCTGCTGACGGGGAGCTGCTGGTGCTGTTTGTGGGTCTGCTGCTCGCCTCCCGCGGCTTGTTTTTGTCCACTGCAAGAGAATGGTGTCCTCTTAGTGTGTGAGTGGCAGGTACAACATTCAACATGGTCCACACACACAGAATATCTCTCAGCCCATCAACAATGTAGAGAGTTCATGCCACAGACCACACACAACACACAACACACAGCAGACCACACACAACACACAACACACAGCCATAAACAGCCATCCATCCTCTGAAGAGAAGAACACAGTTATAACAGAGGAAAGAGAGAACATAAACAGTCAACCAGTCTCCACCAGCACAATATCTAAACCCTGCCCACACACACACACACACACACACACACACACACACACACACACACACACACACACACACACACGCACTTGAGAATACACCCTACTAACTGTTCTAGGCTTAGACAGATGCATCATGGGAGTGCGTGGAAATGATGACCAGTTTGTGTATGTGTGCATTAAGGAGTGCATTACCAGAGACAAAGCAATTAGAGTCTCTCTCTCTCTCTCTCTCTCTCTCTCTCTCTATCTCTCTCTCTCTCTCTCTCTCTCTCTCTCTCTCTCTCTCTCTCTCTCTCTCTCTCTCTCTATCTCTCTCTCTCTCTCTCTCTCTCTCTCTCTCTCGGCTGCCTGGAAATGGTACTCAGAGGTTTTCAGTGTGATGAAATAAACCTGAGAGGCTTTCCTCACTCACACACTCCACAGACGTGCCTGTGAATGAGTCCATGTGCAGCAGCAGGTGCAGTCATAGGGTCCGTGATGCAGTGAAGGCACTCACTGTGTGTACATAAATCTTGCACATGCACGTATTATTCATAATTATCCTCACAGATAAATGTTTATTCAGCTACTCAGTGTTTTACCTGTAATTATTATGTTTTCATGATTCATACTCATAATTACATTACAATTTCCTTCAAAATATTTGAATCCCTCAAGAGCCACCTGTAATCAGTCTCCTTACACATACTGCCACCTACTGGCTCTCTATCTGTATCTTTAGTGTATGGTCTGTATACGTCTCCAGAGCTGTGAAACGAGGTGAATGATTTAAATGGGTTGGCCACTTCAGTATGAGATTGATAAGGGTGAAGACATTCATTGGCTCACACTGACTTGTGAGCAACAGTTTAATCAAAGACTGTGAAATGCTGGCTCCCTTAAATGAATCAAAGAGTCATCAGGCAGCCTCTATTGACAGGAACCGTCTCTGTCAGGTCACTTCCTCTGTGTCTGTTTCACTTTGTACAACCCGCTCAGTTTACACTGTACACACTATGCTCTGCATTCATGACCAGGGGCCTCATTTATAAAGCCTTGCGTAGGATTCACGTGGGAAGGTTGCTTACGTAGGACAAAGCAAATAAATACGCACAGACATTTTCCGATTTATAAAACGCACGCACGTCCTACGCCGGTTTCCCTTTATAACGGTACGTCCACACGGCAGCGTGCGTTGAAGCTTGCCAGTGTCTGGCGCGCGACCAACAACCAATCACATTAATCTCCCGCCCCGGACACACAAGCAAGCGCTTGTACTGGCATATGATTTGATTGGCTGACACTTCCGTCGAAGCTTGAAAAGTTGAACTTTTCTCTACTTTTGAAGCGAGCAAAGCGATGCGACGGAACCACAATGCAGTTCGGCAAAGCCTGACGTTACCCCATTCAAAGTGAATGGGAAGCGTCTCCGTTGAAGCAACGCACGCTGCCGTGTGGACGGGCCGTAAATCACAATCAACTCGAAATGCGGCGCAGATTTTGCGGGCTTCACGTAACGCCCATATTTGCCTATAAATAGTCAAAGAAACGCCCATTCATTCATTTTGACTGACTTTATGAAGAAGATCGCAGGAAATGACGACAGAACAGCTAAAAAAGACATCTCACACCGTGTCAGATTCTGGTTATTTTGGGGAGGTGGAGATAAATCATATTGTTTGGTGGATGCAGTTTGAACCAGAGTAGCAGCATGGAGGTCGGATCGTCACCAAAATAAATAAATAAGTGGTCCGAAAAAAGTTAATGACAAAATACACATAACCTTCCTCAGGCAGTGTGTTTGTGCCGGGGACAGGAGCCCCCCCCCCCCTTGATGATAATCGGGGGATCCCTGCGGAGTGGAGTCAATTCATGTTTATTTTTTTATTCTGTGGTTTGTGTTCCAGCTGTCAATCAGCTGTGAGCAGCGTCTCCACTGCACCCTGTGCGTCTCAACCCCCCTGCAGCAACTCTATCCAGCACTTAAAGATCAAATGCAAAGCTTCCAAATATGCTACATTTTTATAGAAATGTTGTTTTTAAGACTGCCTGTATTTTTTATTTTATTTAAATCGAGATAATACACCCAAAAAAAAGCTTTTTATTAATCCAAAACTCGACCCAAAGCCGTCTGAATTTCTGACATGTAATTCCCAGCAGCCTCCGCGCGCGTGACGTAATAGTGGCCAAACAGTCTCTGGACCAAATATCCCGACTCGGCAGTCTCGGTCACATGTTTTTCGAAAATAAAACTGAATTAACATGGGTTATTGTTGAGCTTTTTGTTGTACGAACGGTGCGGGATCTGGGAAAGTTTTACATGCATTTCCCAAAGACCAAATCATCCGCAAAAAATTGATTTTTTTAGTGAATCGTGTTGGATGGCAACCGACAAAATGGAGCAAGTTGTGTTCTGACCACTTCGCGTGTACGACGTTGATCCTGCTATCATGAAGTCTGTTGGTGGAGAAGCATTAATAGCACGTCGGAGGCTGAAACCCGGAGCCGTCCCCTCCACATTTCAGCACAAGAAACCACTGAAAGAACGAAAGAGCCGGGCGATGCAGAAACGCCAAAGAATTGAGGTAAACAACTTTTGATTAGATTTCAAAGCGCACGGAGCACAGCAGATAACGGAATTGCAGTTTTATTGCTTATAGAGGTGGGCACCGTTAGATTCTGTGTCTTTACGATCATAAACAATGTGTTGGATGTGGAGCTAGGATAAGTAATAAGGGCGCTAGGAGTGATAGGTTAGCATTTTTCGCTCGGGGCTAATTCACTGTTAGCATTGTAGTTTATCTGCAGCTCATTCATCGCTCCTCCACTCATAACGGAAAATGTCGAACGTCCTACAGTCGGTGATGCAGACTTCTTCTCCCATCTCTTCCTTCACTTTCCCATAGTTGTGGCAGCACTTGTTTTCTCGGCTTGTATGCATGGTCTGGCAGTTTCCACATCTACACCAATTCTCAGCACCCTCGGCCTCTTCCTCAGATGGCGAACTTGAATCATCGCCATCAGCACTTTCATCGGTGATATCAGGTGACGTTTCCTTGTATTTCCTCTTCGACATCAGAGGCTCGTAGAGATAGGGTTGGATGTCGACAACATACTCCAGATATTGGGTGGCCTCCGACTCAGAATCAGACATGATAAGCCGGGTGGAAATATGTTAGGCATTGAACAAATTCCCGTCCACCTCGTCCTTGTGAGGTGAGTCCGCCTGGACTTTATTTTTCTAAACCTCTCTAAAAAGGTCAAATTTAACTTGTTTTGCATCAATCTTGATACAGGGTACTTATATGTTATAGTTTGGATTCCTAAAGCTTTTAGTCTATAGTCTACTCAGATTCCGACATGATAGACGAAACTAGTTGTACTATCGGCGGAAGCCGCTGTGATTGATAAGCCAGGTGGAAATATGTTTGGCACATCTGACGTCACGCGCCGCCATCTTGCGGCGGAGAAAATAAATCGTCGGACTTGGTGTTGGGGGTTGAACAAAATTAATATTGCGCATTGCCAGACTCATATTATCTCCGATTTTAATACTGCAATATCTTAGATAGTGTTGTAGCTATATGATTTCGATTGTACTGGCAATTATACAAAAAGCTTTGCATTTGATCTTTAAATGAAATAAAACTAATGTGTTGTGTTATATCAGCTGCCAAATCTACCAAATGGTGTTCTTAGTTTCCATACCTCCTGTGTTTTATGAGCGACTTATCAAGTCTTAGCAAACGGCATAAAACATGATTAAACATGATTAGGATGGGTATCGTTAGGATTTTATCGATACCGACACTGCTTATCGATACCGGTATTTTTTGATACTCTTATCGATACTTTTCAATAATTTGGTGCTCAAAATTATAGACATGATTACAAGATGTGAAGATTAAACAACGGTCATTTTATTGTAATTTATTATTTAATGTAACTTTTTCAATGTCATACCAAGCAGGTATGAGTGTGTTTGACAGTGTGTCTCTGGAAGGGGGTGGTAATTAGGGGCAGTTCATAAATCCATGTAAACATGACCATTAATCAGTTAAAACGAGAAGCTCCGGTCGGCTAACCATTATAATCCATTTATTGCGTTTATTATTTATAATTGTAATGATGGATTATCAGTAATCATTTCAAAGTTACACAGAGACATTGGATTAACCGTTTGTATGCCCTTGAACACAACTTTTGATCACAAAACAGCAAAGGTAAGACATAATTACAGGGTTTCCCACACATAGACTATACTTGGGCGGGCCGCCCAGGTATATTAACGGCCGCCCAAGTATATTTCGCGACCCATTTAGTTTTTTTTTTTTTTTTTATAATTTGTTTTTTTAAATATATATTTTTTTATTCGTCCGTGACCACGACGCCATCTGCGATCGATTAACTTGTAGACAATGATCCCTCGCTCCCTTGCTCTGATCTCGCCTCCTTCTGGCCTGTTAAGTGGCCTGCCTCACACAGGGTGACTGGCTGTCCACATGATGTGGCCTGCCGACATGGCCACTGTCATACAGATCATAAATCAAAGCCCTTGATTGGTCTCTGTGTGTCATTCAAGCTCGGGATAACCTCAGCTCAGGTGAGGTAAAGGACTCTCTGAGTGTTTAGATAGTTAACTTAGTCTAAGTTCTCAGTGGGTCTCAAACGGTGTGGTCACCATTTATGTAAACACATATTTCCATTTGAGAGGGTAGTGATTGGTCTAATGGATAGTGAGGTGGGCTGAAGATCGGAAGGCTGTG